AAAGGCTGCTGTGAGGTCCAGCAGCACCAGCACAGCAGGATTCCCAGTATATAAGGCACCCAGTATCTTGAAAAACCACCACCAGAGGTAGAACACAGAACAATGTTTTTATATTCTCCAAGGTCTCCCTTATATGAAATTGATTCTTGAATACAAATATTTTAAAAAAATTTAAAAAACAGTTATTTCACAAATATTGTGACACACACAATACATTATAATAAGTGCAATAGTTGTCTACTCACCGACCCACAGCAAAAGGAGGAGACTTGTCATGCCACCCATCTCTTTCAATGACTGCCATCCCGGTGCAACAGTGGTGCCTTTTTAAGTCTGGTCACACTGTCCTGTTGGCCTTCAAGCCACCAATCACCTCATGAAGGTTTATCAACACAGCCCCACTGATTAGAAAGGTCTGCACTGATGCAAATGTCTGATCACTTGTCAAGTGTTTCTGCTCTTGTCGTCCATAAAGTAAAAACATATCAGAAGAAGAACACAGATGCAATTTATTTGTAGATGATAGTTTCTGAGGAAAATATTAGTAAAAGTTGGCCTTAAGTTGCTATTTTGATTAAAAAGAATCCATTCAAAGTACTTAAGTGAAGTATGTCTTGACTAAAATGATCAGCTCACACACACACCCCTTTTCAAAGAGTTTTTCTTTCTCAACCATCCAGTGCACAGTGTACCCCAACAGTTTGTTTGTGGTGCTAAAAAACAGAACATCTATCATAGTTCATGGCCTGTTCCAGCAGTCCCCTGTCTGGCTACTCTGAGTCATCAAGGGGGAACTCTGCATTTGGCACCCTGGTGTCAACTTGAGCCATACATTTGCATGTGTTTTGTACCTTCGTAAATCTGCTTCATAAATGTAGCTTACAGAGATGAGGGGAAAAGAGACAGAACTGAACTTAAACACACGTAGGTACACTTATACAAAGTGTCTGTGGCTGTTTAGCCTGAATAGACAGACTGTCCAAATGGTACAGTCGTCAAATTTAAGCATATGACACGAGACAATTTTTATTGGCTGCATGGTGTGATATTACATCATATTCTAATAAACTAAACCTTGGCACAAGCTGAACCTTTAATAAACAACGGGGAGCTGTAGAGGGATGAACTGTTTAAAACTACGTGGATTCCTAACTGAAATGTCAGAAACAGGTCCAAGCAATACGGAAAAAGGCTACAGTGAGAGGGGGAAGCAATATAGCTCGGTGCATGGCCTATATTAACTAACTAATCGATAACACCATTAACATCTTAACTGTATTTGTGGGTGTGTGTATGCGCATAAAGGGTTTTTTATAAATCGCTTTTTAAAAATCGTTAGCTCTGTTGTATTTCATGTCTGAGTTTTTCACGTTTAAGTGTCCACTGAAGATTAATTTTATGTCAGTTACTTAGTAAAATATTGCGTTGGCCAATCCGTTGACCCTATAGTTCTAGTTATTCAATTTGCCTCTAAGGTGTAATAGTACTACATCATATTTTAAAAAACAAAACTTCAGCTCACCTTGAATACTCCTGTCCTTGCAGTAAATTCAAATATCAATTTAAACCTCACTATCTAAGAAAATTATAGACAAGGATCTTTGTGTTCACTGACATTTTATATTTGGTGGCCATATAACAGAAACACTTAGTAATCAGTATTTTGCTTAGCCTGCAGATTACTGTATTTGAATACTGTCACTCTACACACGTGCACACACACAGCGACAAAAATGTGCACATTCAGTATTGCTGTATAATAACAAATTATATAATAATAATACTTTTGCGTATGTTTTGGACCTTCGTAAATCTGCTTCATAAACGTAGCTTACAGAGATGAGAAACAGACACAGAACTGAACTTAAACACACACAAGTACACTTATACAGAGTGTCTGTGGCTTTTTTAGCCTGAATAAACAAACTGCCCAAATGGTACAGCCGTCAAATTTAGGCATATGCGTTCACTAACAGCAGCTACATTTTGC